CGACGACGCCAACGGCGTGGTGGGGGGCGAGGAGGAGGAGGATGGGGAGGAGGTGGGCGCGGCTGCAGACTCTGGGGGCGCAAGCAGCAAAGAGGAGGGTGAGCAGCAGCAGCATCAGCCCCGCTCTGGGCGCCGCCACGCGCCCACCACCGGCGACAGCCAGGACGCGGCCGCGAAACCCACGAAGGGGCGCGCGCGCGGCGGCGGCGCTGGCAAGGCGGCGCCGGCGGCGGCCGCGCCCAAGAGCAGGGGCGCCGCGGTGGCGCGGGGGCGCACGGCGGCCGCGGCTGCGGTGAAGAGGGACGGGCCCGAAACGGACAGCGCCGCGCCGTCAGACCAGCAGGCGTCGCCTGTTGGCCGCGGGCCTCGCCCCAAGCCAACACGCGGGCAGCCTTCTGCGGCAGCTGCCAAGCCCGCAGAGCTTTTGGCGCTCGAGCGGCAGCGGCCGCGCAGGGCGGCCGCGAGGCGGTAGCCCAGGCGTGCAGCTCCCAAAAGCAGCGGGGGCGCGCAGCGGCCTGGCAGCGCGCCACATTGATCCCATGACCTATTCATCTCATCAGCTGCGACGCAGGATGCTTATTCACCATGCTTTTGACGCGACCTGCAAGCCGACCATCAGCCCGAAAGGTGGATCCGAATCACACAACATACGGAGAGGTTTTCAACGAGATCATTCGTGCTTGCTTTGACCTCCAGTCGTAACAGCTTTGACCAACGAGCCTTCGCACACAGGCGCCCTACTGCACAGCTTCGTGACTTGGGCGCTGATGCTTTGTAAACAGAGAGCCGAACCCCAACTTGGCGTAGCCGAAAGAGGTCCCTGGGTGTGCAATTGGTGGCAGGCGCACGCAACACGGCCGCTGTGGGTGATGATTGTGCGGCTGTACTCCCATTCAGAGTAAGGTGGTGGAATGGCGGACATCACGCATGAGAGAATGTGACAGGTGCAAAAGTGCAGCGGATGGAAAGGGGGGTTTCAGTCAAGCCCCCCGTGTGCGTGGTCAAAACCCAGTGTTAAGCGAGCTGCAGGTGCAGCATGCGCGTGTGGAAATGCATAACCTCAGCATAAAGGCAGGCCAGGTCGTTTCAAGTATGCCTGGCGGCGGCTTGGAATGGGTGCAATAAGCGCTTATTGCTTGTGGTGGTGACGCGAGAAAATCAGCGATCTCCCGCCGAATATGGGCGGTGCACGCTCGTCCCCCCACGCCTTTTAAACAAACCGTCGTAAGGCCACCACCCCACACCCTCTCCTAGCCGCAATATGCAGTCTCTCCGCGCTTCTTGCCATGTGCCCGTGCACCAGCGTCCCCTGCTCGGGGCGGTGCGCCCTCGCGTGGGCCTGAGCAGCATCAGGCCCCGCGTGGCTGCCATGGACCCCCCTACCAACGTGGTGGAGCAGCTGAAGGACGAGCGGGGCTTCGTACTGAAGGCTGGTGGGTGCTGTGGTCGAGAGGCCGCCGGGGCACCAACCCTGCCATGTACCCATGCAAGTGTGCCTGCTATAAGTTTCAAGGCGTATAATCCTTGTAGATCGCCTTGGCCACCCTGTAGAGGGAGCCGATTTTGCCGTCGTGTGCAGTGCCCCGCCCGCGCCAGGATTGCCTGCTTGCGCACCTTCACAGTCCTGGATCCTGCCGGATTGTATCCGATACCTTGATTAAGTTTGTTAGTGGGCTTCACGTGGTCTGGGCCCGACCCATCACGGGACTTGCGGCAGCGCGCGCGTGCGCGCTGTCAAACCGCGTGCGCCCTATATCTAGGCCTCTCCGCGCGACTCCCCGAGCTTCATCCATCACCCCTCTTATGCCCCGCAGACGGCACGTACGACCTGTCGGCGCCGCCACCGTTCACCCTCAGCGACATCCGCGCCGCAATCCCGGACCACTGCTGGCAGCGCAACACTGTGCGCTCGTTCGCGCACCTGGCGCTCGATGTCGGCATCGTCTTCGGCATCGCGGCTGCGGCCTACGCCGCCAACTCCTGGTGCGGGCCCTGGTTGAGCAAGGGAGGCGAGGCTCCCGTTTCATTTGGGGGTCCCAGCTATGTGCCAGCCCGGCAGTGCCGTTCGTGCTGCTTGCGCTGCATGTGCTGCATGACCGTCTGCATGCGCGCATGCTATCAAGTTCGCATGCCCCCTTGCGAACATACCGCATGCTTTGATTGCACCTGTGACGCGAGCGACGTGCCAGCCTCGCGGCCCAGAGGCTCTGCCGTGCTCTTTGCCATGAGTGAGACCGCCTGACTCTGTCGCCCCGGCCCCCTGCAGGTTTGTCTGGCCGCTGTACTGGCTGGCGCAGGGTACCATGTTCTGGGCGCTCTTCGTCGTGGGCCACGACTGCGGCCACCAGTCGTTCAGCCCCAGCCGCACCATCAACGACCTCGTGGGCAACTTTGTGCACGCGAGCATCCTGGTGCCCTACCATGGCTGGCGCGTCAGCCACCGCAAGCACCACGGGGTGCGTCAGTTGCCCGGGCCCTCGGCGCCGGTTTGGGTTGGGTTGGAGGCCGGGAGTTGTGAGGGACCGCAGCGGCGTGGACCTGGTGCCGCGCAGGCTTGCAGTGGGCGGACTCGCACCTGCACCAGCAGCCGACAGTCAGTAGGCCTTTCAACATCACACACACACGCACGCACGCACGCACAGGGCACATGCACATGCACACGCACATGCCACAAACAGCCACAGCCACAAACCATTACTCACACGTATGCACGCATGCACACTCACGCGCGCCACAGAACCACGGCCACGTGGAGAACGATGAGTCGTGGTACCCCACCACCAAGTCGATCTACGACAAGATGGACCCCGTGGGCCGCACTGGCCGCCTGCGCTTCCCCTGGCCTCTGTTCGCGTACCCCTTCTACCTCTTCAACCGCTCCCCCGGTGGGTCCCGGCGCATGCGCGACGCTGCCCTGCCAGCGCCTCGCGCCAGGCCTGTGGCGCGTGTGTGCATAGGCGTTTCAGCGCTCGATATCCCAGCTGCTTGCGTCCCCATCTTTCCCTGCTGGTGTCGTCCACGGCGCTCAAATTCGCCCAACTGTGGCGTCTCCGCCTCTGCAGGCAAGCAGGGCTCCCACTTTGACCCGGAGTGCGACCTGTTCGTGCCGTCTGAGAAGAAGATGGTGCTGACCTCGGACGCGTTCCTGATCGGCATGGCCGCGATCCTGGTGGCCGCGACCGCCAAGCTGGGCATCGCCGCGATGTTCAACCTGTACTTCGTGCCGTACTGGGTGTTTGTCATGTGGCTGGACACCGTGACGTACCTGCAGCACCACGGCAGCAGCGACCCGACTGACAAGCTGCCCTGGTACAGGTGACAGGAGGGGACGGCCGACGTGGGAGGGCGGGGCGGGGGCGACGGCGACGCCGTGTGTCGGCAGCAGGGTAGGGGGGCGGCGCCGCGGCCAGCGGGCTGGTGGGCCCTGTGAGTGGCACAGGGAGGGCTCTGCTGAATTGCTGAGTAGGGAGGGCTCGGCTGCATCGCAGAGCATAGCCGCCTACGGCACAAGCCGCGCGACCTGGCCGCCGCCTGACATGCCAGTCGCTGCTGGGCCCTTTTTGACACCTCGCCCCAACCCTAACTCTCCCCCCCACCCCCGCAGGGGCGAGGCCTGGAGCTACCTCCGCGGCGGCCTGACCTGCCTGGACCGCGACTACGGGATCTTCCACAAGATCACCCACAACATCGGCACCCACGTGGTGCACCACCTGTTCCCCCAGATCCCCCACTACCACCTGGTGGATGCGACAGAGGCCGTCAAGCCCGTCCTCGGGTGAGCAGGCCGCAGGCACACGCCGGCCGCTGCAGCTCACAGCCTGCCTGCCCCGCTCAGTCGCTGGCTTCGCCGATGCCGCCGCCCTCGCCGCGCTTCTGTGACTCTTGGCTGCATTGGAACCCTGACAGAACCCTCGCTTCCAACCCCCTGTCCTGAACCCCCGCCGCAGCCCCTACTACCGCGAGCCCGTGCCGTGCGCGCCCCACGGCGTGCCGCTGCACCTGATCGAGCCTTTGAAGCGGTCGTTCGGCGAGGACCACTTTGTGGCGGACGAGGGCGAGGTGGTCTTCTACCAGCAGGACCCCAAGGGCGTGTGAGCTCCCCTGGTCCCCGCCGCGGCGCCCTCAGGGCCTGCGGTGGGGGGCGGTCGAACCGCAGGGCGACTGCTGAGTGATTGCTGGGGCGGGGGCGCGCCGTCCCCGCGGCTGTAGAGTAGGCATCTCTTATCTGGATAACGGTCGTTATGGTTGGGTCGCTGCTCGCGTTCCGGAAGGGTCACCATTTTTCTGCAAGTAGAGCGGCGACGAGAGGGGCCCGGCTGCATGCGGTGGCGCGGCGGAGCAGCGCCGCGCCGCCCGCCAGCTGAGGCGCGGCGGCGAGGGACGCCGAGATGGTTGGGCGAGGCTGTTCGCAGTGTGCAGCAAGTGCGCGGGCGAGCAGAGCGGCGCGGCGGCTCCAGCAAGGGTGTGGGCGCGGCAGGTGACTGGCTGCGTGGCCCGGCCCTATCAATGGGCAGCCCGCGCCATGCGTCCTGGGGATTGGCCGTCCTCAGAGCCCTCGGCGACGGTGATATGGTTTCGTGGCCCCCAGGCTGCCGCATGCGCTGACGTGGTGTGTGTGCAGCAGGCACGGCCACGGGCTGCGGCAGTTTGTGACAGTCAGCAAGTGCGTACGCCCCTGTGACGGCCTGCACGGCGCCACGGCGTGCGACACTGGGGACCGCCTGGCTCTGGGCTGCGGTGGCTGCTGGTGCCCTCCTTGCGACAGCAGCCCGGAGCCCAGACGCCGCGGCGGCCACCCTGGGATCCGCTGGAAAGGCGGCGGATTTGCGGCCGCCTTTGCGGGATGTGGGCGGACGGCCCCAGTCTTGTGCACCCCTTCTTTCGGGCCCGGCCAGCCGGTCTTGAGGCGAGCGCGGCTGCCAGCCCGATGGGACCTGACTTTTTGGCCCTGTGCCGACCGCTGTGTCTGAGGCCTCTTCACCACACCCCCGCCGGGCAGCGCTCTTCTGTGAGTGCCTGCGCCATCGGTTATTACCCCTCAAACGGGGGCTCAATCACTCTTGTTGTGTCGTCACACACACAATGACTGTGCGCGCGGCAGGCCCGTGGCGTGGCTCCAGCCGCGCCGTGGCGCACTGCTTGGCGCTGTTCAACACAAGTGCGTTGCTGCAGCTGGGCCGGTCCCCTGGCGTTCGCCACGGCTGCTTCGCCAGTCTCCATTCAAGCTCGGTGCAGCATCAACATGCTCTCTTTCCCGACCAAGCACTCGCCTAGAGGCTGAACACCATCCGCGTTTGCACCCTGGCCTTTTTGAGTGTGGGCGCCCGCCATTGCGGAGGGCTATTTTCGCGAGGGCTTTTGCGCTTCCTCTCTGCCCCGTGCGTGAGTGTGTGATTGGCATGCACGGCCGTGCGGCCGTCTCTCTCGCCTATTGAGCCAGTGCTTTTGCGTGCTTTGCGTTCTTTTGAGTGTCGTCAGGCAGGGATCTTACATTTTGTAAACAAGCACAGGCGACTCTGAATGAGGCAACCGTGGCAAGGTTGATCAGGAATGGTTGGTCAAGCGGGCGGTCAACCTATTAGCCATACTGCACGGGCGAGGGGTGAGCTACTTGTTTTTGGCTGCGCAACTTTGACTGCTGCATGCCTGCAAACTGGATTTCATCTGGAGCCCAGACAGTGGCTCCCATAAGGCAACTGCCTGCCAGCTGCCCCCAAAAATCCAGTGCCGCCGGTTTCACATTGAATAGACCACCAGTTCAGCAAACCCACCGCTGCGTTGCGATCCCTATCAAGCGAACAGCAGGCGCGTGGCCAAGATGGGTCTCATCTCGCTCATCTGGTTCGTTTTGAAGCCGCTGGGCCTGGTTGTGGGGCTGATCTTGCTGTTCACCTCGTTCGGGTTCTACGCGCTCTTCCAGTCCTTGTGCGGAGTTTGGTTCAAGACTCAGAACCTAAAGAAACGCTACAATGCGGAATGGGCGCTTGTGACGGGCTCCAGCTCGGGTGAGACCGGTGTCAGCGCCGATTCCTGGACAACCCACCGTTTCAAGCGTCTGAAATGGATTAAAAACATACAAGCAATACGTTTTTGAGGCTGTCACGGCGATCTGACCCTTCGCGCCCCGCGTGCTCGCGCCGCGCGCCGCCACGCTTCCCGGCGGACGCGCTGCAAGGCATCGGCAAGGCGATCGCGCAGAAGTTGGCGCAGCAGGGGCTCAATGTGGTGCTTGTGGCACTGGCAGACGATCTGTTGGACCGCACGCATGAAGAGCTGTCAGCAGCCTACCCTGGGGTCGAGTTCCGCAAGGTGCGAGCCGCGCCCCCCGCCCTGCACACGGCCCCGCACCTGAAAATCGCGCCGCTACCTAATGCAGCCGTGATGGGGGCGGGGGGACGGTTGCGCCCCTCGGCCGCGCGGCGACGGCGGCGGCGGCAGAACGCCGCGCGGGGCCGGCCGTGCCCCGCCCACCAGAAGAACCCCTGCTGCAGTCCGCAGCGGCGCCTCGCAGTCCGCCTTTCCCGTCGCCGATGCGGGCCTCACTTAATGTGACACCGTATTCAAACGCGGCGGCATGCATGCAAATGCAGGTGGGCGCCAACCTGGGGAAGTCCGGCTACATGGCCGAGATAACCCGCGCCACGTCAGACATCAACGTCCAGGTGCGAGCCCACACACACACCTGACGCCTGCAGCTCGCGCGCTGCCGCTGGCGGCCGAGGGCGGCGGCACAGCAGCATGTTTTACCGTGGCGCGTGCGCGCACGCACAGCAGCATGTGCGTTGTCAACATCACGAGGGGCATGTGCGGGCGGGTATGCATATGACATCAGGGGCGGCGGGTGCACCGTACGGCCTTGTTTGGCCACAGCCACAGGACAGCAGCTCGCCCTGCATCGTGCGGCCCTCACCTACGTCACCGGATGCTAACAGCAACCATCTATGTGTCTCCGCACAGGTCGTTTTCTGCAACGCGGGCTACATTCTTTCGGGATTCTTCTACACTCGGTGAGGAGCTGAGCAGCCGCCCGCCTGGACCCCTTGGCGGCGGAGGGGGAGGCCTGGGCAGCGGCCAGGCGGCGGCAGCTGATGGGCGACGGTGGCCGGCCAGGCAGCAGCACGGCGGCAGGCCCCCGACGAGCGCCGCGTGGGGCGGCGAGTCGCGGGACTGGCGTACTGACTGCTTGAACGCCCGCAGTGACAGCGCCGTGGTGCGAGCTGACATTGTGTTTGTGTGTAGTCGTGCCCGCGTGTGTTTGTGTGTGCGTGTGTGTGTGTCTGTGCGGGAGGCGAGGTCTTTCATGCAGTGTGCGGAGCTCGCCCGTCATCCCAGCGCCTCCTCAACCCCTCCCCAGGACTGCGGAGCAGATCCAGGCCAACCTGGAGTGCAACGCCGTCAGCGCGGTACACGTCACCCACCACTTCCTCAAGCGCATGGTG